TGGGCATCCCTCTCCTCCCAAGTGACTCAGGAAAGGCTGGTAGGCCAGATGCTGGTGGCTCACGCCTGTAATCCTAGTTACTCAGGAGGCTGAGATCTGAAGATTGCAGTTCAAAGCCAGGCCAGGCAGGAAAGTCCAGACACTCTTATCTCTGATTCATCAGCAAAATGCAGGAAATGGAGCTGTCGCTCAAGTGGTAGAGTGCCAGCTTTGAGCGAAAAAGTTACGGGACAGTGCCCAAGCACTGAGTTCAAGCTTCAGTAGCAGAGCAGAAGAAGAAAAAGAAAAGAAAAGAGGGGCTGGGAATGTGGCTTAGTGGCAGAGTGCTTGCCTAGCATGCATGAAGCCCTGGATTTGATTCCTCAGTACCACATACACAGAAAAAGCCAGAAGTGCTGCTGTGGCTCAAGTGGTAGAGTGCTAGCCTTGAGCCTGGACAAAGCCCAGGCCCTGAGTTCAAAAAAAAAAAGAAAAAAAGAAAAGAGAAAAGAAAAGAACAGAACAGAAAAGAAAAGAACAGAAAAGAAAAAAGCTGATGAGACTAAGGACCCTTGGGGCTCTTTTTTTGGGGGGGGTCCGGTTGTGGGGCTTGAACTCGGCCTGGGCGCTGTCCCTCAGCTCTTCAGCTCAAGGCTAGCGCTCTACCACTTGAGCCACAGCGCCACTTCCGGCTTTTTTTCTTTTTGCTTATGTGGTGCTGAGGAATCGAACTCAGGGCCTCAGGCATGCAAGGCAAGCGCTCTACCACTGAGCCACCTTCCCAGCCCCTCTTGGGGCTCTTAAAAGGCAGTGTTTCTTTCCCTTTCTCCAGGCAGGCAGGGACCTGAAACATGAAGATGGACCTATCTGTACTTTCTCAGTCCCAACCCCAACCATCTCCAAAAGGGGCATATGTATGAGCCTGTGTGAACATTTGTGTACACCTCCTTATCGATATGAATGAGCTTGGTAGGAGTACATAGGGTCATGGTCCTGCAAGTTGGCCCTGATTAGAGGAATAGGGGAACAATGATACTGAAATCCAATTCTTGTTTTGCTTACTAAGCTATGTGTCTTGATGTGGAGCTGCATTGACTAGAAGGGGGTCACAAAGATGACAGTTGGTAAGCTGCTATTCCAGGATTATAGACCTAAAGTACATACATATATACATAAATACATGGATCACACACACATATATGTATCTGTATACTTTCCTGGAACTTTTTTTTTGGCCCTGGTACCGGAGCTTCAACTCAGGACCTGGCACTCCACAACTTGAGCTATAGTTCCACTTGGAGATTTTGGGTGGTTAATTGGAGATGAACATCTCAGGATTTTCCAGCCCAAGCTGACTCTAAATCACAATCCTCAGATCTCAGCCTCATGAGTAGCTAGGATTATCATCACCAGCCACCTGGTTTTTCCTATGTGAGCTAAGTACACACACATGTGTGTACAGGGACGCTCATAGACTGCCCCCAGTTTTCTCCCGTGCTCTGCTTCCCAGTCCCTGCTGCCAGCAGGCCTAGGATGGGGCAGGGAGAAAGGAGGGCTGCAGGCCTGAGTTCAGGATTTCCGGCCTGCTGTTGTCTTTGCAGGCCCACTTGATGGAATGAGGAATTGAGAAGCACACTCAGGGTGGGGAGCAGGGAAGGCAGCCTGGGCTGTTCCCCCAGTCTCATAACCTGTGGTTGGGGCTCTGGCACCAAGAGTCTAGGGTTGTCTCTGAGTCACAGGTTAGAAATACAGCTAGCAGGCAGGCAACTCAGTGATGGCTCTCTGATTCACCATGGGGCCTCCCAGCCCAGGAGGTAGGGGAGTCTAAGCCAAGGGCTATGAGAAGCTCCTGTATAATATATACATACATGATATATCATATATATTCATATGATAGCTATATGATATATAATGTGTTTATATACACACATATACAAGTATACATACCTACCTAGATATATGTGCCTATGGCCCTGCTCTCATGTGAATGAAATCATATAATAATAAAAAATTTTTATGTGTGAGTCCTAGGGCTTAACTCAGGGACTCAGCACTGTCTTGGAGCTCTTTTTTTTTTTTGGTTGGTTGGTCATGGGGCTTGAACTCTGGGCCTGGGCACTGTCCCTGAGCTCTTCAGTTCAAGGCTAATGCTCTACACTTGAGCCACAGCGCCACTTCCAGTTTTCTAGTGGTTAATTGGAGATAAGAGTCTCACAGACTTTCCTGCCTAGGCTGGCTTTGAACCATGAGCCTCACAGCTGAGCCTCCAAAGTAGCTAGGATTACAGGCATGAGTCAACTGTGTCCAGCAAAATCCTGTAATTATCTAAGCAGAGTTTTGTCTATAGGCAAGCATGTGACTGCAAGCTATGTGGGGGTGGGGTATTTATGTGTATGTGTGTGCACATTTGCATGAGTGTGAGTCTACCCTATTACATCTCTCTGTGTGTGAACTGCCACTAAGACATTTCTCATTTCTGACAGCCATTTCTCAATGGAAAAGTCCTCAAGGCCCCTTAGCCTATCTGGATTAAGTCCCTCTCAAAAATGTGGTTTCTCTGTAATCCTAGCTACTCAGGAGGCTGAGATCTGAGGATCACGGTTCAAAGCCAGCCCGGGCAGGAAAGTCCATGAGACTCTTATCTCCAGTAAACCACTTGAAAACCAGAAGTGGAGCTGTGGCTCAAGTGGTAGAGCGCTTGCCTTGAGCTGAAGAGCCAAGGGACAGCGCCCAAGCCACACGACCGACCAAAAAAAACTAAACAAAAGGAAACAAAATGTGGCTTCTGCCAAGCACTAGTGGCTCACACCAGTCATCCAAGCTACTCAGGAGGCCGAGGATCATGGTTTGAAGCCAGCCTGGACAGGAAAGTCTGTGAGACATCTTATCTCCAACTAAACACCAAAAGGCCAGAAGTGGAGCTGTGGCTCAAGTGGTTGAGCACTAGTCTTGTGTAAAAAAGCTCAGGGGTAGTGCCAAAGGCCTGAGTTCAAGCCTCAGAACTGGCATGAAAAAACAAACAAACATGGTTTCTTTGGCCTCCCCTGGCAATACTGCTGTGGAGAACTGAGGTGAAGCCATGTTGTTTAGTCTCTGTAAAGCCCCGTGGGAGAAGGGCCCAACTTATCAAGCCTCAGTTTCCTGATTCTTCTTCTTCTGCTTCTTTTCCACCTCCTTCTTTTTCTCATTTTGGGCTATGGGTCAAATCTAGGGCCTTGTACCTCCTGCTCAATTGCCCGAGACAGAGTATGTAGTTCAGTGATGTAGCTTGTGATTAGCATGTTGTGAGAGCCTGGGTTCAATGCCCAGCACTGCAGAAGACTTAAAAAAAAGTAATAAAAGCCTGTAATCTTAGCAGGGGATGTTCCCTGCCAAGCACACCTATAATCCTACACTCAGGGGGCTGAGTCAGTAGGATTGAGAGTTACATACTGAGACCCTGACTCAAAAAAAGGGCTGGGAATGTGGCTTAGTGGCAGAGCGCTTGCCTAGCATGCATGAAGCCATGGGTTCCATTTCTCAGCTCCACATACACAGAAAAAGCCTAAACTGGTGCTGTGACTCAAATGGTAGAGTGCTAACCTTGAGCAAAAGAAGCTCAGGGACAGTGCCCAGGCCCTGAGTTCAAACTCTATGACTGGCAAAAGAAAAGTAGATAGCAAATTGTCCATGACCCTCTCCATATTTTGGGCAGCCAATTTCTTTTTAAAGACAGACTCCCTTTGGTCAGAAAATCAACAAAGTAGGAGAGGAGAAAGTTAAACACATCTGGAACTTAACTCTGCTGGCAAGATATAGAATGTGGCATGTCAGGACAACTGCATCTCAGCCTCTGGGGCATGTGAGCAGCACGGCCAGGTACACGTGTGAGAGTTCAGCCCAGCCATGAGGAATGCCCTGCAAGGATGATCAGCACCCAGGACCTGTGCCATGTGGGCACAGCTGTGGACATAGCAGACGAATGCATGGAGCATGCGACATGTTCTCACAGTACATGGAAAAGGGCCTGGGAACTCTGGAACTCAGCACACCTGTCATGTGAGCTTAACATGGGTCTGGACTGCAAGAGTATCTCTCCTCCGGGCCTCACAGCTTCCTTTCTTCTGCCTCCTGATTGAAGACCCACTGGGTCCTTGTGTGTGTGTGTGTGTACACACACACCAATACTGGGCTTGAACTCAAGCCTGGGCATTGTTCCTTAGCTTTTTCCTCTCAAGGCTCAAGGCTGGTGATCAATTACTTGAGCAGCAGCAACACTTCCCAGCTGTTTTTAGTTTTTAGGTTTTTTTTTTTTTTCTTCTTTTTTTCACTCATGGAACTCGGGCTATCCCTAGCTCTTTTTTATTTATTTATTTTGCCAGTCATGGTGCCTGAACTCTGGGCCTGGGTGCTGTCCCTCAGCTCTTCAGCTCAAGGCTAGTGCTCTACCACTTGAGCCACAGCACTACTTCCAGCTTTTTCTGCTTATGTGGTGCTGAGGAATCGAACCCAGGGCCTCATGCATGCAAGGCAAGTGCTCTACCACTGAGCCACCTTCCCAGCCCCATCCCTAGCTCTTTTGCTCAAGGCTAGCCCTCTACCACTCTACCACTTTGAGCTGCAGCTCTACTTCTGGTTTTCTGGTGGCTAATTAGTGATAAGAGTCTCGTTGGGGACTTCCTGCCTGGGCTGGCTTTGAACCATGATCCTCAGATCTCAGTCTCCTGAGTAGTTAGGATTACAGGCATGAACCACAGGCCCCTGCTCCTGGGCCGGGGGGGGGGGTAGTCCATTCTTTGGTAACTGTACTCTCTCCCGGCCAGCACCCAGTTCATGTCTGACCCCCCTGGCTCTCAGATCTCCACAACCCCCTCCTCTCAGCCCTCAGATGCCCCCCCTTCACCAACGTCCCTCCGCCAGCGTCCCCACGGGGCGCCTCTGGGGTAAGTGGTGGGTGTCGGCCTCTCCGCCCCCAGGGCGCAGCGGGCGGGCGGGGCGCAGCGCTCCCGCCCGGCCTCTTTCGCCGCCTATAAAAGGGCGCAGCTGCTGCGGGTCGGGGCCACCGCTGGCTGCTCCTGGCTGCTCACTCGCCCGCCCGACAGCGCCGCCGCCTGCCCTCGCCATGGGTCGACAGAAGGAGCTGGTGAACCGCTGTGGGGAGATGCTGCACATTCGCTACCGATTGCTCCGCCAGGCGCTGGCCGAGTGCCTGGGGACGCTCATCCTCGTGGTGAGTGCAGTAGCCCTTTTCCCGTCCCCCCACCCCGCCTCCATCCGTTTGCACCCCAATTCCTAGCTCATCCGAGGTGCGGTTGTTTCAAGACAGCTCTGACCCCCAACGGAGCTCCGAGGGTTCAGGGTCCAGCTTGCACCCCGCTGCTCCCAAACTATCCAAACTCCAGCCCCGACAGACAGCTCTGACTCCAGGAGTGACAGCTGTCCCCGCCACCCCCAGCCCTGTTCCTTTGCCCTCCAGCCGCAGGCTAGGGGAGAGGTCACCCCTGCAGTCCCCAGCCACCAACGTCTCCTGCTTTCTCCTTGGTCTACAGCCTCATCCATTCTCAGTACACCCGGCCCCAGGAGGCACAGAAGGCAGAACCAAATAGACCCCTATTAGGTTATTTGGGCCCCTGGATCTCTGGCTCCTAATGAATAATTAAGCTTCTGAGAGTCCAAAAGTTGCAGTGAAGCGAGGACAATTGGCCATGGTGGGGGCAGAGGGCGCAGGCCACATAGGCTGCAAATAACCCAGTAGGAAGAAAAGATTCTTGAAGATAGAAGGCTGGGGAAGGAAGTTGTCCCTCACACAGAGCCTGTTCCAACCACAGGGCTTGCACGCCCTCTCAAGTCACCCACACAGAAGGTGTCAGCTTCTTCCCAGAAGATCACTGGTTTTCTGAATTTCTTCACTTTCCTGCCTCAGTTTCTCCTGCCCTAGGCCCTCTGAGTGAGTGGCTTCTCTGCCTGGGTCTCTCCTGAATTCTAGTCACTCCTCGGCTACACCAGCTTCAGCCTGGATTCTTATGTGCCCCAGTGTGCTTCTTGGGTCTGACAGAGTCTGGGTTTCCTGTGCTAGTTTCTTTGATTTCTCAGTGGCTCATGAGGTCATACCTGGTCTCCTCTGCATTCAGTTGCTAGATTGCAGCGGGTGGATTATTTTCTGGGTTCCAGCCTCTGCCTGGGTAATACAGACCGGTCAGCCTCCTCTGGGGACTAGGAAGCTTAATGAGGGAGCTAGGAGGACTTGAAGAAGCCTACCATAAATGGAGGTGGTGGAGCAGGCGGGTTTAATGAGAGGAGGGTCCAGGCTTACCTCTGGCTTCATAGGACTAGTGGCCATATCAGTTGTTCCCTCTCCTTTCTCCTTCGTGCCAGAAAGGGAGTAGAGGGAGGTGTTTATCATGAGTCAAACTACCTTGTTTTGGAGCCTCCAGAAAAAGGGAGGCTGTCTTTCATGTTCATAAAAGAGCCTCCTCATCCCTTCCCCCAGGTCTAGGTTTGACCCCTCCCCCCAAATGAGCAATCAGTCCTCCCTTGGAGCCCCGGGATCATTTGGCTTATCTCAGACCACAAAAGGAAAGTGCTGGGTTTGTGGCTAAGGCTTTCAGGTGGATGAAGCGTCAGGTGTCAGTGAAAAGCAGAACCTTAAGGGCAGAAAGAACTGAAAGGACCGAGCCTGAGGGATCCCCTAGGGGAAGGCCCAGAGCTACCTTCTCACGTCCACACACCTCCATGTGTTGGGGGATGGGGGCCTGTAGCAGAGTTGGAGTTGGTTTTGGGGTGAGCGAAGCCCCTTTCTCTGAGTTACCTACCCTGGGGGTGGGCACTGACCAAGAACTAGGGGGTGGGGGTGGGGTGGAGAAGGAAGAGGAAGATTAGCCTTGAGGTGGTGAAACTGGCTCTGACAGCTTCTCCCTCCAAGGCCTCCTGGGATGGAGCCAAGTCTGGGCCTCAGGCAGGTAAAGAGACCTGCGTGGCCTTAGGCAGAGCGTCCCACACCTCCACGTGCCTGCTTCCCTGCCTACCTCCCCCTCTCATCTCTGACCTTTGTTCTCACCTGCATGAATACCTTTGGCCTGCATCACCACCTCTGGCTTCCCCATTATCTCTTGGTCTGAGAGATGATAATCAACATTCTTAACAACCCAGTACACCGCCACTGACCTATTAGAATGAATGGGACCCTTCGCACAGTTCCTTTGACGTACTTGCTGCGCCAGCACGTACCTTCAGTGAAGTGAGAGTGCAGATTCAGGGCTGGCCTGGAGCGCTTTGGTTGGTGCTGAGGGTTCAAAGCTCTTTACAGCTGGCGCAGAGTAATTTCCTATTTGAACAAGGCTAACAGATATATAGTCAGATCATTCTGGGCTTCCAACATCAGAATGCTCTGTTCTTTCCAATCCCCTCATCCCTGGAAGAACATTTAGCACTGATCTCCTCATTTTCTCTTCCCTGGGTTCCAGTCTGGGGCTAGTGAGAGGAGCCACTCCCATGATTGTTTTCAGGACCTCCAAATCTGAGTGGGAAATTTGGATCCCCTGAGGTCAGGGCAGTGGAGAGAGGAGACACTAGAAAAGGGACAGGTCCAATGTGAGATGCCAGGTGCTTTGACATCCTAGGATCAAAGGAATTGGATTCCACTTCATTTTGGCCTCTACTCATTCCCTCATGCCATCCTATTGCCCCCTCTCCCCTTCTTAGCCTCTTTTGGGGAAGCTAGGGCTGAGGGAGTGCGTCCCATCGCTGGGCTCCAAGCCTACATTGCCAGGGAAGAAGCTGTGCTACAATAAAAGCTGTCCATTTTCACCCCCCTCCCCCCGCTTTTCCTGAGCTTAAAGAAAAAATTGGAAGAACATGTTTGAACCATTTTCCAGGCTCTTAGACATAGACCTGTTTCCAGTCCCTCCCATAGTGCTGGGGTAGATTACAGTGGGACAGAAAGCATGTCTCCTATTTCTGGGGTGTGGAGTTGCAGCTGAAGGGATTTGGGTTGGATTCCAGGAAGGACCTCTAGGCCTCTTGGTAGTGGCACGTGAGGTTGTTGGCTTCACTCCTTCCCTCTGGGAAGCTGTAGGCCCTCAGTAAGGCTTCACCCTCTCTGCCTTGTTCTGTTTCTTGACACAGATGTTTGGCTGTGGCTCTGTGGCCCAGGTGGTTCTCAGCCGAGGCACTCACGGTGGTTTCCTCACCATCAATCTGGCCTTTGGTTTTGCTGTCACCCTGGGCATCCTGGTAGCTGGCCAGGTCTCTGGTAAGACTTGAATCCCACTCTCAGTCCAGGTCCCTCAACATTGAGGAAGATGGTGGGAGGGGGTGTATTCCCAAGGATGGGGCATAGCCATGGCCTCAGCCCTGGGCTCTTGGGAGAGGAGGAGGCAGAAGAGACTTGACCCTTAAAACCTTCAACTCTCAGGCTGGGAAGGTGGCTCAGTGGTAGAGCGCTTGCCTTGCATGCCTGAGGCCCTGGGTTCAATTCCTCAGCACCACATAAGCAAAAAGAAAAAAAGCCGAAGTGGTGCTGTGGCTCAAGTGGTAGAGTGCTAGCCTTGAGCTGAAGAACTGAGGGACAGCGCCCAGGCCCAGAGTTCAGGCCCACGACTAACTAAATAAAAAAAAAAAAAAATGAAATCTATCTTGCTGGGGCCAGAGAGGAGAAATACATAGGCCACCCTTGCCTCAGCACTGTGGTAGGCTATGGATAATAGATCCTATCTCTTCTCTGTCCAGGGGCCCACCTGAACCCAGCTGTGACCTTTGCCATGTGCTTCTTGGCACGGGAGCCTTGGATCAAGCTGCCCATCTATGCCCTGGCTCAGACACTGGGTGCCTTCCTTGGTGCGGGGATCATTTTTGGACTATACTATGGTAAGCATTCTGCACTCCAGCCTCCACTGCCCTCTATTGCCCCCTCCTTCAGCTCAGGACCTGTTGGCATCAGGCCTTGTGATGACAAACAGCTGGGGCCTGCCCAGGCCCAGAGCTCATGACTCATTCATTCATGCTCAGGCTCAAGGTTTGGGGCACAATGGGAGAGAAACAAGTTGAGCAACATCATCAGTCTCAGGCCCTCCACCCCACTCTACCTGGCCTTCTCTGTGCCCCAGAGTAATATAGCAATTTCTGCTCATTGTGACCCTTGGGAGAGTGGAGAAGACCTAGCTGGAGATGGGGAGGCCTCAGACTTCACTTATTCTGTCTGATCTGTCACCAGATGCAATTTGGAACTTTGCCGACAATGTGCTTGTAGTTTCGGGCCCCAATGGCACAGCTGGCATTTTTGCCACCTACCCCTCTGGACACTTGGACATGGTCAATGGCTTCTTTGATCAGGTATGGTCTGGGATGTGTGTGTAAGGGGGAACAAGTGAGCTTGGTTGTTCATAGACTGGGTGGGAAACAGGACTCTGGATTTCTCAATTTGTGGGGACCCCCAGTCTCAGGACATGGTGGTGGGTCCTTATAAAACATACAGCTTCCACGGGGCGCCGGTGGCTCATACCTGGACAGGAAAGTCCATGAGACTCTTATCTCCAGTAAACCACTAGAAAACTGGAAGTGGTGTTGTGGCTCAAGTGGTAGAGCGCTCGCCTTGAGCTGAAGAGCTGAGGGATAGCGCCCAAGCCCAGAGTTTCCCCGACCGACCAAAAAACAAAACAAAACAACATACAGCTTCCACTGGGCACCAGTGGCTCACACCTATAATCCTAGCTACTCAGGAGGTTGAGATCTGAGGATCACGGTTCAGAGCCAGCCAGGACAGGAAAGTCCGTGAGACTCTTATCTCCAGTTAACCACCAGAAAACCAGAAGTGGTGCTGTGGCTCAAAGTGGTAGAGTGCTAGCCTTGAGCTGAAGAGCCTCAGGGTCAGGCCCCAGCTCCATGACCAACAAAACAAAAACAAACATACAGCTTCCCACTGAATTATTATTATTATATTTGTCCATTGTGAGCCTTGAACTCAGAGCCTGGGAGCTGTCCCTGAGTTTTTTTGCTCAAGTCTAGCACTCTACCACTTTGAGCCACAGTGCCACTTCAGGTTTTCTGGTGGTTAGTGGGAGATAAGAGTGTCATGAACTTTCCTGCTTGGGCTGGCTTTGAACCAAGATCCTCAGATCTTAGCCTCCTGAGTAGCTAGGATTATAGGCATGAGCCACTGGCACCTGGTTAAGACTGCAGGGCAGGGGACCATCGGGATGAGAGGGTGGGGAGGGGGAGCTGCTGCTCATTCTGTTTTTGTCACTCCCTAGTTCATCGGCACAGCCGCTCTCATTGTGTGTGTGCTGGCCATTGTTGACCCATACAACAACCCTGTGCCCCGTGGCCTGGAAGCCTTCACAGTAGGCCTTGTAGTGTTGGTCATTGGCACCTCCATGGGCTTCAACTCTGGCTATGCTGTCAACCCTGCCCGGGACTTTGGCCCCCGCCTTTTTACTGCCCTAGCTGGATGGGGTTCGGAAGTCTTCACGTGAGTACAGTGTTTACCTGGCTTGTTCTGCCGGCCCCTCTTTTGCCCTGCCCCACCTGCTCCAAATGACATGTGTCTTTATTCCCCAGGACCGGCCGGCACTGGTGGTGGGTGCCCATTGTCTCGCCACTCCTGGGCTCCATTGCAGGTGTCTTTGTGTACCAGCTCATGATTGGTTGCCATCTGGAGCAGCCCCCACCAGCCGCTGAGGAAGAGAATGTGAAGTTGGCCCATGTGAAGCACAAGGAACAGATCTGAGTGGGCTGTGTCCATCCCTCCAAAGGCCCCCTCCCCTGAGCATGCAGTGATGGGGCGGGGGTCCCCTCATGAGTCCCTTCACAGGCTAAGAAGCTCTCTGCCTACCCTATCCCCTCTGGAGGGCCCCTTCTAGGATTTCCCTGGACTCTGCCCCATAGGACCTTAGATCACCACTGTGAGTCTGGGTGGGAAGAGAGTAGGGCCAGACTTGGTTTTGTCTCCTAAAGGGAAAGAATAAGTAGCAGTGGTGTGTGTGTGTGTGTGTGTGTGTGTGTGTGTGTGTGTGTACATTCATATGAGTGGTTTCCCAGATATTCAGGGCAAGGGACAAAGCATTTAGAAAGGAGCTAGCAGTTTAAGCACTCCACAAGGAAGAAGGCAATGTATCAACCTGAGGGAAGAAAGAGCCAAGGTGTGTATGTTCCAGGGCTCTATGTGGAGGAAGGTCCAGATCTGTGTGATTTTTTTTTTTTTTTTGGTTGGTCATGGGGCTTGAACTCTGGGCCTGGGTGCTGTCCCTCAACTCTTCAGCTCAAGGCAAACACTCTACCACTTGAGCCACAATGCCACTTCCAGTTTTCTGGTGGTTTATTGGAGATAAGAGTCTCATGGACTTTTCTGCCCGAGTTGGCTCCGAACCACAATCTTCAGATCTCAGCCTCCTGAGTAGTTAGGATTATAGGTGTAAGCCACCGGCACCCAGCTCACCTGTGCGATTCATGAGTATGTCTGGGTCTGCCACTCCCCCCCCTCCAAATGGGGCTTTTCTAGGCTTTTGGGAGGTGAAACTGAGAGGAGAGAATCACAGTTCAGATCTGGGGCTCTTGGATCCCAGGGTAAAAGCTGTATAACATGTTTCTGTCATGTCGTCTTGTTGTGTGCATGTGTACATGCGTGCATGTATGTGTGTGTGTGTGCAATCCAGGTAATAAGTTTCATGTTTGCTTTTGTTTATTTTGTTTTTTAAAAATATATATAGCTGATGTTACAATCTTAGGGATGGGGGTTGGGAGACTCCTCTTTGAAGAGGTCTTCATTCCTTTAATCCTCCTCAAGAATATACTTTTTTGCCTTTTTTTATATAAAATAAAACATCTGCCTAAAAGTTTCAAGTGTGCACATATCTTTCTTGTTCTGCTATTTTTCTGGAGTCAGTTAAGGAGCTTCGTTGTATCTGGCTACAAATTCCCAGGTGCCCAGCTAGATATCTAATCTTCCAGCACCCATCCTTCTGGACTTCTTCTTAGTTCCTGTAGCTACCATCACCCCAGGAAGACAGGCTGGAGCCCCATGGTGGTGGAGAAGAACCTTCTAGGCACAGATGCCCAGAAAAGAAGTGAGGGGGTGAATTCCCTATGGTGGGAGATCTGTGGACCCCGAGGGACTTGTATTGTCCTCTGCAGCCTCTGCCTCCAGCCTGAGGTTGGCTATGATCCCTTTAGCATTCAAGTGTGCATGCGATTCAGTCTGCACAATTGTCAGAGGGCGCCTTGGGGCCTTTTCTTGGCCAGTTCTGGGGCTTGAACTCAGGGTGGCCTGGGCACTGTCCTCGAGCTTCATTTACTCAAAACTAGCACTCTGCCACTTGAGCCACAGCATCACTTCTGGCTTTTTCTGTGTATGTGGTACTCAGGAATGGAACTCAGGGTTTCATGTATGCTGGGCAAGCGCTATACCACTAAACCACATTCCCAGCCCACACCTGGGGCTCTTTTAGGGTACCTACCACATAGAGACAGTGAAAAGCTCTTCATCAACATCTTTTTTTTTTTTTTGGTCCAGTCATGGGGCCTGAACTCTGGGCCTGGGCACTGTCCCTCAGCTCTTCAGCTCAAGGCTAGCACTCTACCACTTGAGCCACAGCACCACTTCCGGCTTTTTTCTTTTTGCTTATGTGGTGCTGGGGAATCGAACCCAGGGCCTCAAGCATGCAAGGCAAGCACTCTACCACTGAGCCATCTTCCCAGCCCTCTTCATCAACATCTACATTCTTTAGGACCTGCCCTTGTCTCTGACTCTCCCTTTGTAATGCCATCTACCCTATCCCAGCCTTCTTTATGTGCCCCTGGGTTTTGGCCTTCTCTCACATTTTTCTATTAGAATCCTGATCTGCCTAATACCTTCTCCTCGAAAGTAAGTCTTCCCTAAATCTTTGAGTGTGTGTGTTTGTGTGTGTGTGTGTGTGTGTGTGTGTGTGTTTGTGCATGCACGTGCGCACGTGTGTGTGTGCATGCCAGTCCTGGGGCTGGAAAATCTAAACCTGAGCACTGTCCCTGAGCTTTATTTTTTTCCTCACTCAAGGCCAGTGCTCTACCAGTTGAGCCACAGCTCCACTTCCAGCTTTTTGGTAGTTAGAGATGAGTCTCACAGACTTTGCTGCCCAGGCTGGCTTCAAACCATGATCCTCACATCTCAACCTCCTGAGAAGCTAGGATGACAGGTGTGAGCTACTGGCTCTTCTCTAAATCTTGTACCATCTTCTACGGTCACTGGCCCAAGCCCGGAAACCACTGTGGTATATGCCCCTGGCCTTCCTCTGCTTTGCTTCTTGAGTCAGGCATGTCTGTGCCCGGGCACCACGGGTGGTGGTAAGTACTGTCACCCAGAACACAAGGGCCTCACCATACCTGAGCCCAGAAGCTCTTCTCATTTCCACTTAAAAAAAAATCTTTATGCATCTGACTTAAGTTTCACCAGGCATACAATTGAAGGCATAGCTTCCCAAGCTCTCTTTCAGAGTTAACCCCATGAGACCCAGAAAAATCTCAAGTTCACAGGTTTATACTTTCTAGAGACCAAGCCTGCTCTTATTGCCCAGCCCCTTCACAGAGGATCATGACCATGACCATGACTCAGAGAGGGTGGGTGGCAAATACAGAGTCACACAGCCAGAACAAAGACCAGGGAAGCAGAGGTGGGATATGGGGTGGGGGGAGGTTAGATATAGAAATTCTCCCCCTTCCTGGTCCCCAGCTCTTAAGAGGTGTGTCTGGAATGCTGGAGGGACCTGAGCCAGAGGGAGTGTCCTGTACCTGACCCTGAGGGAATTTAGGAAGGAAGGGTAAGCCTTGGGAGGAGAATGTGGCTGTAAAGTTTCATTCCAGTCACACTGGTCCTAACTTGGGTGTCCCTACCTCCCCTGTGCCCCATGCCCAACATTCCTTTCTCTGAAATCCTGCTGTTGGTCCTGATTAGTCAGCCCATGGGGTGATGAGAAACGGGCTGGGATTAATAGAGAGTTGAGCCTAGATTGCACTTCCAGCTTGGCTTTATTCAAGCTTTGTGACTTTGGAATATGAATATATTCTTTCCCAGAACCTCAGTTTCCTTCTCTGTGACTTGGATGTTGTCAAGAGGAAATAATAGAAGTCATGAAAAGGACTTAACACAATGTATGATAAGACTCAATAAATGTCAACTCACGGGCTTTTCATTAAGAACTAGAGATGGGTGGGAAAGTAGGGGTCAAGGAGGGGTGCTGACAGCTTTGTGTGTGTGTATGTGTGTGTGTGTGTGTGTGTGGTAGTACTGGGGCTTGAACTCAAGGTCTACATGGTGTGCCTGAGGGTTTTCGTTTGTTTCTTTTTTCTTTCTTTTTTTTCTCTCAAAGCTAGCAGTCTACTCATTTGAGCCACAGCTCATTTACAGCTTTCGAGTGGTAATTGGAGATTGGAGTCTCTGAGAGTTTCCTATCTGGGCTGGCTTTGAACCCAAATCTTCAGATCTCAATTTCCTAAGTAGCTAAGATTATAGGTGTGAGCCACCAGTGGCTGGCCGATGGCTAGTTTTTATTTTTATTATTTATTTTGGCTCCGGTTGTGGGCCTGAACTCTGGGCCTGGGCCCTGTCCCTCAGCTCTTCAGCTCAAGGCTAGTGCTCTACCACTTGAGCCACTTCCAGCTTTTTTTTTTTTCCTGCTTATGTGGTGCTGAGGAATAGAACCCAGGGTCTCATGCATGCAAGGCAAGTGCTCTACCACTGAGCCACATTCCCAGCCCTGTGAGACTCTTATCTCCAATAAACCACCAGAAAACCAGAAGTGGTGCCATGGCTCAAGTGGTAGAGTGCTTGCCTTAAGCTGAAGGGCTGAGGAACAGTGCCCAAGCCTAGAGTTCAAGCCCCATGACCTAAAAAAAAACAAAACAAAATAAAACAAAAACCCAGGAACGTGGAAACTGCTTTTGCTAAGGGCACTGACTCTTTGCTTGGGCAAATGTTCAAAGGGTAACAAAAGCAGGAGCAAAGATTGGCATCTCGGTCTCAATTGTGCATCTGTCTCCTTTGCTCTGAAGCCAGTCTCTGTTGCAGTCACGGTAGATTCCAGGAATGGGAAGACAGGATTGAACAAGAACAATGTGAGACACGAGGAGAAGCCTCCACCCCCCGTCCCGAGGCACCAAAGACTCCTGGTGGAAGGCTATGTGGAGATACACCTTCCAGTACACCTTGGACTGGGACTCTTGCATTATACATACCTCTTGTCCTGTCCCAATTTGTCCTCTATTTAATAAACTGGAAGCTCTGCTCAGCACCTGGAAGGTGGGATGAAATGCTTCCTCTTTTGCAGCACTTTCTCTGACCTTCACCACTACTCGGCTCTTTAATTGGCATATTGGGGCAAGTGGCTAAGCTGACATGTTAGAAAACCCTTAGAGTCAAGCTTCTGTCACAGATTCTGGTTATACTATTTTTCTTTCTTTCTTCATTTCTTTCTTTACCTTCCTTCCTTCCCTTCCCTTCCTTTTCCTTTCTTTTTTCTCTTTCTTTTTCTTCCTTCCATCTTTCTTTTCCTTCCTTTTCTTTCTGTTTCTTCCTTCCCTTCCTTCCATTTCTTTCTTTTCCTTCCTTCCTTCCTTCCTTCCTTCCTTCCTTCCTTCCTTCCTCTCTCCCTCTCTCTCTCCCTCCCTCCCCTCCCTCCCAGCAATACTGATTTCTAAACATGGATTTTTTGCTTGATAGACAGGCATTCTCTACTTGAGCCAAACCCCCCAGCCTATTTTTGCTTTACTTGGTTTTTGGATAGGGTTTTGCTCATTTGTTTGGGCATGGCCTTGGACCCTAATCCCTCTATCTATGCCTTAAGGGATCACAGCATGCTATGCTAATGCTGGCTTGGAGACCAAGCTGATGTTGAACGTTGATCCTCCTGATCTTTACATCTGAAGTAGGTGGAAGTACAGGCAGGAGCCCCTGGGCCTGGCCATCTTTCCTTAAAGTTCTAATTTCAATTGAAATTAGCCTTTCTGAAACTTGAGCTTGGTTTGGTATATTCCGGCCTGTGTGTATATGTGTACAAGTACAAGTATTCTTTTCTCTGTGCTTCGGGTGGGCCTTTGCCTCCGTATGTAGGATATCTCTGAGCCTCTGGCTTACCATCTGGCTTTCTTGGTCTCTGTCACTGCCCTGAATCTTGGTGCCTATGTGAATATCCTGTGTACTTAGGCCAGGTTTCTGTATGTCCCTTGGAACCCATCTCTCAGTGTAGCTGGAGCACAGCTCTGTCT